TTGCGGATTGAAGGGTCTAGGGAAGACTAGAATTCACTTCAAACGCATAACATATGGACATGTAAGATTGGATGAGGGCTGGTTCTCACCGGCATACCCCCACGTGGGAAGATTGGGTTGGCTAGGTCAACCTAATGATTAGAGAATGGCACATTAAAAAACTTAAAACCTGGAAGAGGGGCCCTGGAAGAAGGGTGTTGCCTGGAAGAGGGCTGAACCTTGGAGAGGGTTCGCGATCATAGGACATGGTCAAAATCTCCAAAGAAAGTTCGGGTCTTGATGTTGAGACTTGATGATTCCAAAACCGTTTCGGATTATTCGTTCGAAATTTGAGCAAGGTTGCTGTTAGGCATGACACCCAGGCCAGAGGGGGAGAAGATGGTGGCATGGTCAAAAGTGACCGGTCACTTTTTTATGTTCTGGATTGACAAGAAAATGCGAATGGGAAAAAATGAAAATTTGACTGGTCAAATTTGAGAAAAGTGACCGGTCACTTTTTTAGTTAGCAGTTTTGATGAAATCAGGCAAATCTGAAAACCTTCCGTTTTGACCGGTCATATTTTTGGCCCGGCACCTGGACAGAAAATTCGACGTCATGCTGGTTACATATTGCAACCAAGCCATTAGAACCTGGAAGTTGACTGGGTTAGAAAACAGGCGAGGAAGAAACCGACCTAGACGTTTTCAAGTCAAGAAACCAGGACATGAGATGGCCTGGAAGTTTTCAAGCCTTGCGTCTAAAGTGGTCTTCAAAACTTCCAACCTAGCCTACTACACCAGAAAATGAGATGACCTGGACGTTTGTTTCAGTTCAACCTAGACACAAGCCGGTCCAGAAGACTAGTCAGGCCACAAGATCTGGACATTTTCAAGGTTGCAAGACCTAGATGTTTTCAAGGCTTGTACTTGACCAGGACATAACATGACCTGGACATTTGCAAGAGATGGAAGTGACCAGAACATGAAAAGACCTGGACGCTGTCAATAAAGCCTACCAGACCTAGACATTTCTAAGGCGTTGACCAAAGACCAGGACATGAGGTGACCTGGACAACTAAAACGGATAAAGCCGGTTACTTCTTTTGACTTGAAATCAAGCATATTCAATAAAATTGTCAACCAAGCCAACGAGGCCAGGACGTTTTCAAGATCAGGACATGAGATGGCCTGGACGTTCTTTAAAACGATTCCTAAGGTATAAGGCCGGTTAGTTTTATTGACTTGGAAGTTCATTCAAAGGCAATCAACACAAAGAAAAGAAAAGCTATCATGCAAGAGACAACAACCATGCATAGAAAAGAAGTTCAACCATGCAAATTGAAGCAGATCGACCGGTAAAATTCAAGAGCATGCCAAGAAGATTTAAATCTCATAAAAATCATAAGTAGGCGGGACATCCCCCAGGCCTTAAGAAAATTCAGAATTTTTTTCATAGAAAATACCCTAACCTACTGCAAAGGGAAAGGGGGGCTGGCTCTTCCTTGTACAAAGGAGGAAGCTTCATCTTGACCGGGTCAAACGAAGGGTCCCTCTTCTGGAGCCTGGCATAGAGAAGGGACCTCTCATCCTTCTGGCCACACTGGAAGCCGTATGACCTGATCTCAGTTATCATCCTCATGCCCTCCGGTTCTTTGTACATGGTCTTGAAAAAGTCCATGGTATCCTCTGGCTTGGTGAGAACGGACCGGGCAACTTCAGTGTGATGGCAAGCGGCCCAAGTTGCAGCATCATCAGGAAAAGACTGCTCCTTTGCCCGGGCAGATTCTTCAGCCTGTCCCAAAGCTTCTTCTAGCTCAGCCACCTTTCTCTTCTCCTCCGCCAGCTTGGCTCTTTCCTCGTCTAGCCTAGCCCTCTCTTCCTTCAGCTCCTCTTCAAGTCTCTTCTCCCTCTCGGCCCGGTCATTGATCTCCGACTTGGCAGAATCAAGAAGGAGGGTAAGTTCGGAGACCTGGTCCTTGGACTCCAGGAGTGACCAGCCAACTTCTTCGGATAGAACTCCAACCTGGAAAACAAGCTTGTCAGTAAAAGCGAAGGAAATAATTAAACCGGGAGGAAAATCAGAGTTGATACCTTGCTGAGTTTCTGGGCCAGGGATAAAAAGGTCACTTCAATGGACTCCCCTTCTAGATCTGATAGCTTGACCTTCTTCCTCCTTTTCCCCCTGGAAGTCTTGTGGGAACTCTTCCTTTTCTGAGAAGAAGAATGACCGGTCCCCTTCCCTTTGGCTTTGACATCCTTCTTGGGATGAGGAACCCGATCACTTTCAAAGAGATGGGTGGTTGGAGGAGAGTTCGGTTTTTGGCTCTGTTCATGGATAGGGCTACACCGGGCACTTGTGGCCCCATCCATTCCAGGGAAGTTAGGAGGAGAAGGAGAGTTGGAGAGAGGAGACCGGTTGGAGTGGAGGACTTGGACATCATCGTCGTCATCCTCAATGATGGTGGTCATCCTGTTGAAGTTCATGTCTGCCAAAAAGAACAAAGTAACCGGTTAGATTTTACACCTTATCAAAACGAAAGTGGAATCAAAAGGTTGAGGAAAATTAACCAACCTGGATGAGGAGAGCCGGCCTCAGCGTGACCATCCGGGGAATCAGCCCGGTTATCCTCAGCGTCATGGGTCGCAGACGCACCCCCATCCGGGTTAGCTAGCCGGAATACCCAGCCCCCATAGGCATAAGGTTTCCCGGTCACAGGATCACCCTTGAGAAGTTTCTCGCAGGCGTCCTCAAGATCTTTAGTGGGCTCCGGTTGAACCCTTTCAGGTTTTATAACCCGGTCAGCCCACTCAGGGTTTGAGAGAGGAAATTGGTCAGGGGGGAATTCAACAAAAACAAATCTTTTCTTCCA